AAGAAATGCATGATTACCTTTATGGGTATGCAGGTAACCAAATGGATATTGAACACATTTCAAACATCCTTGCATGTGACATCTATCATAAAGGCCAGAGGGATATTTGGAAGGATATTTTTAATTTCCAGTGCTAGGGCCACTTACAATTTATTCAGGAGTTTTCCAGGGTCTTTTTGATCTGGTTGCAGAAGTTCTGTGAAAGTCTTGAAAAGTGTTTGTCAGCTTAGAGATGATTTCATCTTCATTGAATCATGTATGAGACTTCTTCATAAGTATTTATTTCCCAGATGTTTTGAATTTTTTTATGTGTGACTGAGACGTGTTTGTGACTGATTAGGTGTGTTTTGAAACAGGAATGAGCCAAGGTGTACCCATAGTTGGGTTGGTGATGGAAGGAGGCCCCAGTGTGATCCTAATGGTGTGGGAGTACGTGAGGGCCACCCCAGCTGTCCCTGTCGTGGTCTATGAGGGCACTGGCAGAGCTGCAGATATCCTGGCATTTACCCACAAACACACAGGCGATACAGGGTGAGTAGTGGCATAATGGTCCTCCTCCTTGGTCTGTGATAGTGGCAGGGACCTGAAAACACCTATCTCAAAACCTCGTATATATTATGAGATAATTTCTAATGCTTCTAGGGGTGACCCCACTATGACCTTTTGCCAACTTTAACTTCTGTTGAGAGTGGAGTTTATTCCTTCTCTGTCTCAAACTAGTGCTGAAACAACTATTCTGCCAAATTTACTGGGGCTTTTTTGAAGACCAAAACCTGCGTGTAGCTATTTTGAGTTACTATAAAGTTTCTCACCTTTGTGAGAGACACTGTTGGATGACTCCAGAGTGTTTGCTTGTGTTTTGACTCTATTGTTTCTCCTGCTATTAATGCTCTGTATATGGGCTTGAATTTGGTTGCATAAAGCTTTTGAGACTAGAGCTGGGGTTAGTTGCTGTAGGAACCTCAGACTGCAGCACGAAGAGGACTAAGTTTCCTTGTCTTTTGCTTTGGTTTACTCAGTGGTAACCCAGATTTGTCACTCTGGTCCAACTGTAACTCTGTGCCACTGCCAGTGCAGTTTCAGCTGCAGGTGCTATTGAACCTACCTTGATGAAAATTTTTCATCCAAACTGGAAAAAAATATATGTATTTGTAAAGCCAATTAATATTATTTGTGAAAGTTTTCAAAGTCAGAAACCTTTTTAGATTAAAAAAATCAAATTTTAAAGAGATGGTCTGGATTCCTTCTGATTTGAGCAAATAATTTAATAAATTTTGTGACCTAATTGTTTACTTATTGTCCTTTCTAAATATTATTTTGGAGAGGTAGTATTTGCCCCAGTATGTTCTATTGAGAACTTTTTTCTTCACATGCTTTTTTCCATATTTGTGATATTTAAAAAAAAATCCTTCCATTTCAAAAGGAAGTGTGGATGGAAATGTTAATGGAAAGATAAATAAAGGGGAAAAAAGATAGGAGAGATATGAAGTCTAATGAAAAAATAGTGAGCAATTTCATTTTATCTCTATATGATTATTGAAAGAAAGAAAAAGTTTGCTAAAGTTCCACTGATTTTTAGCTCTGTGTTCACAGACAATCCTTTCAAAGTTGTTAACTTATTCATGTGTTATATTTCCAGTAGTAAATATGTATGTCAGAACAAATACCCATGAGAATAATAATGTATGTTATGTGATGACTTTGCTTTGTTGCGCTGAAAGAAGGCAGGATTAAGTCAACAGAGAAGTAGAAAAAGAAGAGACTTCCCATATGTCTCTGCTTAGTACAAGTTTCATCTTTTCTGAAGTGACATTTGAGCAAGTAAGAAGTAGCTAAAATATAACTGTTCTTGCTTGTATGTCTGTTTTCCAGGGACCTGTGCCCTCAAGTGAAGAAAGCGGTTTTAGTGATGATTCAAAACACATTTAGTTTGGAACAGAAACAGTCCAGTCATCTATTTCACATTTTGATGGAATGCATGGAATACAGAGACTCCGTGAGTGGGGCTCATGCCCTGAATTTAGGACGTCTTAATTTGGTGTTAACCTTTTTGCTTCTTCTGTAGTGGGTTGGCGCACAGGTGTAATATAAAGATAACATGGAGGTGTCTGTGCCAATTTCTATATTGAGTAGCTCTAGAGAGCCCACTTAGTTGACTTCTAAAGTTTCAGTGTTTGTTTATGAAATGACAGCCTTTCTGATTTTAGTAAAAGGCCATATATCTTTGTTTTCACTGGAAAGATCAAGTAATTCCTAGGGTTTTTTTTGCTTCTCTAGTAGAGTCTTATTTATAATTTAGAAAGGTTTCCTTCCATTCTTCTACTTAAAACAGAATTTTCCTAGAACTTGTAATGCAATGTACTCTTGTGATTTGCTGGTATGTTTTGGAGCTCAAGTGCTCATTTGCAAGGAGAATCATAGAACCACAGAATGGTTTGGGTTGGAAGTGACCTTAAAGACCATGTAGTTTCAGCACCCCTGCCACGGGCATGGACACAAGATGAGGTTGTTCAAAGCCCCATCCAACCTGGCCTTGAGCACTTCCAGGGATGGGACATCCACAGCTTCTCTGGGCAAGCTGTTCCAGTGCTTCACCCCTCTTACAGTAAATAATTTCTTCCAAACATCTAATTTAAATCTACCCTCTTTAAGTTTAAAACTGTTACCCCTTGTCCTATCCCTACACTCCCTGATAAAGAATCCCTCCCCGTCTTTCTTGTAGACCTCATTTAGATAGTGGAAACTAGCTACAAGGTCTCCCTTGAGATTTCTCTTCTCTAGGCTAAACAATCCCAAAGGAGAGGTGCTCTAGTCATCATCTTTGTGACCCTCCTCTGGACATGCTTGAGCAGGTCCACATCCTTCTTATGTTGGGGACCCCAGAGCTGGACACAGAACTCCAGGTGGGATCTCACCAGAGCAGAGTAGAGGGGAAGAATCACAGAATCAGTTAGGTTGGAAAAGACCTCTGAGATCATCAAGTCCAACTTTTGACTGAACCCCACCATATCAACTAGAACAAGTGTCACATCCAATCTTTGTCTTTTTTTAAGCACCTCCAGGGATGGTGACTCCACCACCTCCCTTGGCAGTGGATTCCAACGTTTAATCACCCTTTCTATGAAGAATTTCCTCCTGATGTCTAACCTGAACTCCCCTGGCACAGTTTGAGACTGTGATCCTTTGTCCTGTCACTAGTTGCGTGGCAGAAGGTGCCGGTTGACTACAACCTCCTTTCAGGTAGTTGTGTAGAGTGATAAGGTCACACATGAGCCTTCTCTTCTCTAGGCTAAACAACCCCAGCTCCCTCAGCTGCTTATCACAGGACTTACTCTTTAGATGCTTCACCAGCTTCATTTTCCATCTCTGGACTCACTTCAGCATCTCAATGTCTTTCTTGAAGTGAGTGACCCAGAACTGGACACAGGACTTGAGGTGCAACCTCACCAGTGCTGATTACAGGGGGACAATCACTTTCCTAGTCCTGCTGGCCACACTATTTCTGATACATTTCAGGATGCCAAGTGGCCTTTTTGGCCACCTGGGCACATGGTGGCTCTTGTTCAGCCTGGTGTCAGCCAGCACCCCCAGGTCCTTTTCAGTTGAGCCACTTTCCAACTACTCTACACCCAACTTGTAGCACTGCATGGAGTTATTGTGGCCAAAGTGTAGGACCCAGCACTTGGTCTTATTGAACCTCAGGCCACTGATCTCGGCCTATTTATTCAGCCTGTCCAGATCCATCTTCAGAGCCTTTGTATCCTCTAGCATATTGACACTCCCACCCAACTTGATGTTGTCCTCAAATTTACTAAAATTTTACTAAATTTACTAAAATTACTAACCTTACTAAATTTACTTACACTTGATCCTCTCATCCAGATCATCAATAAAGATATTGGACAGAACTGGGCCAAATACTGCTGGCCATGCTGCTTTTGAGGCAGCCTAGGATGTAGTTGGCTTTCTAGGCTGCCAGTGCACATTACAGTTCTTGTTGATCCTTTACCTAAGTCTTTCTTTCCAGGGCTGTTTTCAATTCATTCTCTTCCCAAGCTATATTTGTTCTTGGGATCACCCTGACCCAGGTACAGGTCTTGCACTTGACCTTGTTGAACTTCATGGGGTCTGCATACCTCTCAAGCCTGTCAAGGTCACTGTGGATGGCATCTCTTCCCTTTAGAGTATCAACACCACTCAGCTTGGTGTCATCCACAAACTTGCTGAGTGTGCATTCGATCCCAGTGTCCATGTCCCCAACAAACATCTTAAATGATACTGATTCCAATGCTGACCTTTGAGGGACACTTCTTGTCACTGGTCTCCACTTGGACACTGAGCCATTGACTGCAACTCTTCTGAGTGCCACCATCCAGCCAGTTCCTTGTCCGTGGGGTGGTCCACCAGTCAAATCCACATTGGCCTAGTTTAGAGACAAGGATGTTGTGCAGGACATTATCAAATGCTTTGCACAAGTCCAAGTAGGTGACATCAATTGCTCTTCCCTTATCCATCAGTGCTGTAATTCTGCAATAGAAGGCCATCAGATTTGTCAGGCATGATTTGCCCTTAATGAAGCCATGTGGACTGTCACCAATCACCTCCTTATTTTCCGTGTGCCTTAGCACGGTTTCCAGGAGGATCTGCCCCATGATCTTGCCAGGCAAGAGGCAAGAGCTGAGACTGACCTGTCCATGGTTTCCCAAGTCTTTCTTTCTAGCCTTTTTAAAAATGGTAGTTATATTTCACTTTTCCAGTTACTGGGAAATTCACCAGTCTGCCACAACTTTTCAAATATGATGGAGTACCAAGTATTTATTGTAGGAGTAATGACAATTGTAGCAAGGATCACTAAAATGAAAACTACTCAATATATTTTCAGTATTTTTTTTTTTACTTTATTGGAATGTCTGTTTTCTAGTTGAAAACTGAGTGGATATCAAACATGTTACATTTCTATATTTCTCAGCTTTAAAGGCTAATCAAAAGGAAATAGACTCATGGAGACTCATGCAGTAGGTTGACTCCAGTTTGCCTGAGATGCCATTGCATTAAAAAACAAAATGGTGCATTTTATGTCTGAAACAAAGGAAAATTATGTCTGGGCCTTTGCCATTGTTTGTGTTGAAATATGTATAATTTAATCTACCACAGCCCATACCAAGAAGAAATAACTACAGACTTCTCTGCCTCACCTCAAATAGTATACTTCTGCAATTCTAACAGATAACCATATTTGATGCGGAGTCTGAAGATGAGCAGGACATTGATTTGGCAATTCTGACTGCACTCTTGAAAGGTATTGAAAAATATGACCTATTTTCATCTGATATAGAGTCTCATTGACTTCCCTGTTCAAAGCAAAGGAGTGACATTAATGTGTGAAAACTGCTAGATCCTTTACTTGTTTCCTAGGTACAAATATGTCTACTTCAGATCAGCTAGATTTGGCATTGGCCTGGAACCAGCTAGATATTGCCAAGAAACATGTACTCATTTATGGACAACACTGGAAGGTACAATTACCTTTTATTTTTCAGTGTCTTTACACTTTATTATGATGACTGATTTTCCGTGACTTACATTTGTCAAGCTCTAATTAAGAAATAGTTCGATGATTGGAATCAGTGTCCTGTAATCTGCTGTGATTTTGGAGGGGCATTATCCTTAAAACTGTGGAGTATTCAACTGCAGAACGCATCAGATCTCATCTCTTTCTCCAGAGAGGAGTTGACAATTATCAGTTATCAGGGATATTTCGTTTTAGCCCAAAACATTCTTTTCTCCAAAGATGTAAGCTCTGAAGGAACATTGCATCTATTTTCCTTGCTCTAGACAGAAATACAGAAATCACAGTGTAAATCACCAGGTTAAAAAAAAGGTAAAATTAACTGTGGTAACATTATCTTAGATATTGTTTCTTAGGAATACCCACAATGAAGGCAAACCATGATTTAGACCTACATTAACTATATCTATGTGAAAGAACATAAAGTAGGAATTAAATCAGTCCCATAAATTGTGGTTTCCAAGTTTTCAGATGTAATCCAGTATTTAAGTAGAACTTCCCTTAGCAAGTTTTTTATGTACATAACATGATTTTTATATATGACAAATATAAAACTCTGTGTGCCTTAACATGTTTTTCCCATTTTTATAAAAGTTAGTATTTTGCTCAAGAAATAATATCTGATGGTCCCAGAAGTACTTCCTAAGTTTTCTCTGCCAAGAATTACAAGGTTGATTTTTCCAGTCCCAAGTGTGTCTTCTTCTTTAAAATGTAAATTTTGAAAAAGATACAGTTGTATATTTATATGAGTGGCCATAGCTGGTTGTTTTCCACAACAAGAGACCTGAATTTTTTGTCACCAGCCCATACTTTCCTGTGGTGTGTAAAGCTGAAGGAGGACTATGCCTGAGATGTCTACAATTAAACATCCATGAATTCAATATTGGATATTAGGAAAAATTTGTTCCCCCAAACAGTTATCAACCATTGGAACAGCCTACACAGAGTGTGGTTGAGTCACCATTCCTGGAACTATCTAAAAGACATGTAGAGATGTGGCACTTCATGACATGGTTTAGAGATGGACTCATCAGTGTTAGGTGTGCAGATTGACTTGATGATCTAAAGATCATCAAACTAAGTGATTCAATGATTCTGTGTGTATGAGAAGTAAGGAGTAACATCTTCCTAGTCCCAACCTCTTTAACACACAAGAGTTTAGAGAACTATTGAATAGTTCAGCCTCTTTATTCCTGGCTCTTCCAAGGTGATTATCTGTTCAGTATTTCCGTTTTTCTGAGCATATTTTCTGCTCTTCTGTGTGCTTTTTTCAGATGTAAAAGTCATCTATTGAGACAGGCAGACCAGCACTGTACTCAATTTTCTAATTTAGATATTTAGTGAAATACTAATATTTTACAGATTGTTCTCTATTCATCTAAGGATAATTATCTAAGAATAAATCTAAGATAACTATCTAAGAATAATTGTCTAACGATAAATCCTTATAGGTTGTATGCTTTTTTTACTGGTTTCTAACTTGTATTCATGCCTTGAGAAGGTAGGTCCACTAGAATTTTAACCTTGCTTCTACTTACTCTACTGTATTTACCCATTTTCTACTGTCTTCCATGATCCTGTTACAGGGGTTGAATTCAACTGTACTTCAGTTCCCTAGGAACTCTTAGGTGAATACATTTTGCTACCAATTTATGGATGACTTCTATAGTCTTTTCTACCGACGCCTCAATTTGACACAGTTCCTCAGATTTATCTACCATAAAGAACAACTTCAAGTATACGACTTTCCCAAACTATTCTGTAGTGAGCAGTGAGGCAATGAATTAGTTTACTGTGTCTGCAATAACCTTATCTCCTTGAGTGTTTCTTTTATACACTGATTATCCTCTGACCTTATAGATCCACTGGCAGGACCCCTACTCCCACTTCTCTGCTTCTGATATGTTTGAAAAAAATCTGTGTACCTATTCATATCTATTTCAGTACAATTGTTCAGCAGCATTTGATATGAAAAGCCATTGTCAAATAATGACTATATTCTCCACTTTCAGTAAGACATAAAGATCTCATAATAAATAAGCCTCGATCTTTTGCTTCTCCAAGCAAAAATTAAAATGACATATACTCCTGAAAGTTTTTGTTTTGACTGAGCAGAAAAAAATAATCTTAAATAACAACTACTTTCTTCTTGCACTGAAATAAAAAAGGATAAGCACAGTATTTAGGTTTGCCTTTAAATTAGTTGCTTTCTAATTAAAGAGGTGTAACCCTCTGACTGTCGGGAACTGCCATACCTGCAATCATCAGAGGCTACAGCTTCTGCAGGGTTATTGTGATTGTGTGTTCAAATTTTGAATTATGTTTTTAAACAGCAATTTTTAGGTGATTGTAGAGTCTTAGTATATTTCTGTCTATCTATGTAAGTGTTTCAAGGAAGCATGCACAGTTAGGCACAGATTGTGGCCATTTCTTTTAGAACTCTGGTCCTAGAAGTTCAGAAGGTAAAGACTGTAATGAGCTGTAGTTATGTTTCTGCTCAAATGTCAACTCAATCTCAAATGGACTTCACACCAAAGAATGTCATTCTAGTAGTTACCAAATAGCTGTCTAAACCTCTTCAGACACACTGCCAGCTCAAGGAATGACTGCTACAAGAAATTTAATACAAGAATGGTCAGTCACTCTGAGATATTTCTGGAAGAAACACCAATAATTAAGGATCAGTGCATAAGTATTCTTTTTACATGTGAAAATTCTGTCATATTTATTGGTCATCTTTTGACATAATTTCTGTCAAATGTCAGTATGTACACAGAATGTACCTCAGTGCCAACCTCCTCATTCTGCTCGCCCCACTGCATTTCCTGTGCATACATGTTCTGTAGAAAAACTTTATATGAATTTATACAAACCTCATATGTATAACTCCTTTGCTATTTTGCATGTAGAAACCTTGCTGAGCTCTGCGCAAGTGTCATGAGTACAGTGCTTTCACTGTTTGGACACTATTGTAGGTAGATTTCTGCTTCATGGTTTCTTTAAGAGAGTTTATTCTCATATATGTTGCCTCTTATTTGAAAAAAGTCTGCTTTAAAGAAATTTCAGTTCTATAGAGATATTTTGAAATAGAGTATCTTGAAATATCTTTTGTCATATGTCAAAAGAAAGGCTTCCCTCCACCCCATGTATTATCCTACATTGGCTTTTGAAGTGAGTTAGAGAGTAGAGAATGTATTATCAGAGTCTAGTTGTAAAGTTACACTCGTAGAAGTCTCTGCAGATGTTGGGTTTATGGTAACTCAGTTTTGCTTCTCCTCTTTGTTGGATTTTTTTACACAGATGTTTCCTCCAGCATATTTTTCTTTTGTACTGTGCACTTTAAAGAAACATAGTCATTTTGGTAAATGGATTATTAGCTGTTCAGGAATGTTTTATTTATTTCCAAATGTAATTTTCTAAGCTTTTCCTCCAACTCTGTCCATTTGGAGGTTGGTGCCTTGGAACAGGCAATGCTGGATGCTTTAGTGATGGACCGCGTGGATTTTGTGAAGCTGTTAATAGAGCATGGAGTGAACATGCACCATTTTCTTACCATATCTCGTTTAGAAGAACTCTACAATACGGTGAGTATTTGGAATTCCAGTGTACAACTGGAAATTAATGGGTTTTGCTAATTTTGATTGTAATGTGGGATTTTTGGGTTGGTGTACCAGCTAGTTATTTTTGATTTACTATCTTAAACCAGACTGAGTGTTCACAGGAAGCTTATGAGAAATGTGTTCAGATTTAAATCCGGTAAAGACATGCTTGTCTTGCTGAAAATGCTATGTTGTTTAGACCAAAGCTCTATCAGCTTCTTTCTCGAATATGTCATGATTTAGGATAGTAGATGTGTTGCATATTAGTGTTGAAATATTTTTTAAGAGACTTGTGTGTAGATGTTAAATGGAGAGAGCTTCAATTGCAGTAGCTTATTCTGAAGATTTTTTTAGCTGATTTCTTTTACTGTATTGATTTTCTAATGTAGAGTGGCATGTTTGTTTACTGTCTTTTCTTTTCACACCACAGAAACAAGGACCATCAAATCTACTGTTATATCACCTAGTTCGAGATGTGAAACAGGTAATAGACATAGGAAAGGCTGGGGAGCAAAAATGGTAGCTTAGAACTTCAGTGTCCACTGGCACACTGCTATTAGATAACACAGGGAAATTTTAGGAATAGAAGTGATGGGTTCATTATTATGGTCCTATATCTGCTAAATGGTTTTATCTTAATCCCACTGATCCCCTAAGAAATTAACTAGCACACTTCTATTGAGGCTCCCAAGGATCCTGTACTTTAGTTTCAAAGCCAAGCAGTTCGTGTAGATCAGACTCTCTCAAATTACTAATGTGACCTTATGAAGTGATTGTACAAAAGACTTAGTGAATTAGTGCAATAATTACTGTCATTGTTTTAGCGTTTTCCTTTTTTCCCCCAAGCTAAAATATTCTTTCCTTGTTGAGCAATAACAAAAAGATACTGTGACAAAACATAATGTTATTTTAGAGTGTTACTTTGCCTAGGAGAACAGAGGGTGGCAGTGGATGACTACTGCGTGTAGCACTGGCTCCATCAGTAATTTAGTGTCAGCCTTGTTATTTGGGTACATCATTAATTTATTTCATGGTTCTGTTATCTATTGTACCTCACAGTACTGCTTAGCCAGGAAGGGATGAGCTGTTACTTAGGCATCTAGACTTCACTGCAGGGGATTCCTAGATCCAAAAATAGATTAATTGGCTAGTTCTTTCCAGGGTATGAATGCTAAGATAAAATCCTAATCTTTGCAGAGTTCTGTTGTATTTGTGGTGTGATTTTATTATTCATGTCAATCTCATTTATGGTTCTTTAGATAGATGTATGGTATTCTGATCTCCATAACAAACTGTTCTGTGTATTTTCCCTTATTGATGAACATATTCAAGGTCTGATTTATGTGAAAGATCTGGAAGAGCTCAGTGTTGAAAAAACATCTAACTTATCCAAGCTGAAAAATCTGTCTCCCTCACTGATACTGAAGTAATTGATATGACCCCTCTCCTAAAATCCATGCCCTGTATGTATCTCAGGACACTTTGGGAAAACTCAGCGTGTGATCTGAAGAAAAACTTTTGGCACTTAATATATGTTAATGGAATTTATGTAAAAATTATCTGCACAATATCAAAACTTCCTATGCCATTGTGTAAGCTAAACTTACTTGGGATCTGCACTCAGGACTAAATACTGTAAACCCTTTCTCACTGGAGCTTCTGTTAATATGTGTAAGTGTTCTGTTAATGGGTCATGCAGTTGCAGTCTACTATGGTGACACAGTAGGTGGGACAGTCACCAGAGTGATGTGATCATGGATTTCAGAATATTTTCTCCATTAGGGTCACCACCTTTGATTCTGCTTCATTTGAATGGAGATACATTGCAGTCTGCTTGGATATCATAAAATGTGAGGCTTAGTACAGAGAAGTATCTACAAGTATAGGTAGTCAGAAATATTTGCCTAACTAACTCTCAACAACAGAGCTGACAAGCTCCATTCTGTGAGATGTGCTTTTGCCCCAGAGTGTTCAACATGTTGAAGCCTTCTGCTACTCAAGGCTGGGTGGCCTTAGCTGACTATTGAAGTCTATTGAAAAAAACCTCAGTCCAGAAGAAAGACTTTTCACAGTCTGAAAGGCATGTACTGCTAGAAATACATAATGTCTCAGATCCTATTTATGTACAGGCCCATTTTTCACTTTAAAGACTTGCGCTTTAAGGTTTTACCAATAATTTTCACATCTGTGTGGAAAATAATCTGTTCTTCAGAGAATTTGTCACAAACTAAAGGGTGTGGGAAGAACAGTGAAGGTACTTTAAGCAGAAGTAGTGCGAGATTCAGAAGGTAGAGGTAATGCACATACAGTTTTTGTCCTAGTTGACAAGAGACAGTCTTGAGCCTCTACAAGGCATTTCCAGTCTCCGGGAACTGTCTGCATCATTAAATACATGCTTCAGCTACTTCTTGATTTTTAATTAATGAATGAGCTTAATGAACAAATCACCCCATGCTAGTTTTCTCTTGTTATGAGGAGAAGATTTTTGTCTGTCTCTCCAGTGTTTGTGATTGTCCTGAAGAACGACTACCCTCACAGTTGAATGAAGCCGGTCTTGGGATCATGCATTATATGTCCCTATGCAACGTGTGTGCAGTCAACTGTAAACATCACATTTTTCAGCCTGAAAATGGGATGTACCTGTGTTCTCTTTCCAAGGGAGTCCCATATTCCTAATGAATGTATACAGTTTCCCGAGAGCAGGAGCTCTCAGTTGCACATTTTTCCAGACTACCTCTTAGTAGGGCTCTGACATGGCTGACTGTGGTATGTAATAGCATCATGAAAAGTTTGTGACATTTGGTGTTTCAGAATACCCTTCCTTTGGATTACAAGATATCACTGATTGATATTGGACTGGTAATAGAGTACCTCCTTGGTGAAGCTTATCGGAGCAGCTACACAAGGAAGCATTTCCGAATTCACTACAATGATCTCTACAGAAAACATAAGGTAATTTCTTCAAAATTACTACCACTGGTCTTCAAGAAAAACCAAAATAGCCACCTGAAAATAGCTCAGGTTGTCATTGTGGTTTACCTGAAGAGCATCAGTTAAAGGTATGCCAGACTTGTCTGTTTTATGAATCTCTTTGCCAGCTGTGGGGAGGTTGCAAATAAAATAGACAAGTCCCCAAGAGTACCAATTGTTAAATTAACTATTAATTTAGTAAATTTACCTTTGTGTCCAGTAGTTGGGTTGTGTTCTTTGTCTGTCATCCATTAATAAAGATCAAGAAGACTGTACCAACCATCGTTTTCCCTTTTCTGAAGCAGTTGCATGTTTCTGTTCTTGCAACTTGAACCACATCACAGAAATAGTGAATTCCACATGCCTTGAACTAGACTTAGGGTGTGTCATCATTTTCCCTGTTGACTTTCCAAAACCAGTAATTTAAAAGGAGCCTAAACTTCTCAATAAATTAGCTGAATATCATTGCCAACATCACTGCATAAAAATTCTACCCAGTTTTTATAGTAGAACTGGACTTTGATTGAAGTAGTTCCACATGTTAAAAAACAAACAACAAAACCCTATCATCCCCATGAACTGCTTTCATGACTAAGAGAAGAATCTCAGGAGGATCAGGGAAAATGAGAAGAAATAATGAAAACTGTTACTTGTAGTGAACAGAAACAGAGAAAAAGTTTCCTGTATGTCACTAGTTTAATACAATGCTTAAAAAAAGATATATGAGCCATTGTAACACTTTTCACTGTTTGCTGATGAAATATAACCTTAACAGGAATGGATGAAACTTTATAATCATATAACTGAGTACTACAGGAAAGAGCATTAGTGATTCAGCTCGTAACATTCTTCCCTCTGTGTCAACACTGAACAAAATTTATAGGGATGCTAGATGTTCAAAGGAAACAAGCAGCAAAAAATTCATAGAATTCTGTTTTCCAAAGGACTTATGGCACTATATAAAAAAGGTTGGCACTCAGAAGAGCTTCCAGTTGGATTATTCTAGTCTGGTACAAACCCTGTTGTTGTTTTAACTGATGGATGCTATTTGGAAAATCAATATTTTGAATTCAGAGTTTCAGAAAAACATATGTTTTTATAACTAAGATGTGAAACAGGCTATTTTTTCCTTTATTGTATAAGCTCCACTGGTAGTTATGGTGATTACTGACTCACTAGTTTTTGAATAACATCAGTTTTCCACATGTAGTATTGCAGTCAGAAAGTACAAGCATATATCTACAGGCACAAAATCATATCTAATTTGCATTTCTTTCCTTGTGTTTTGTGGTATGCCTTTGGATCTAGAGAGTACTCTCCAGCTTTTCTCAGAGCCTGTCTCATTCCTTTCATCAGAGTAATAGGATGAATAGTGGAATGGGATCTACTGAAAGTACTTTGCATTCTCAGTTCTTCAGAACAGCACAGCCTTACAAATACAAGGTAATATAATTGCTTACTTTAGACTTGGGGATCTTGGAGTCACAGGGTTTGGAGAATACCCAACACTCTGGAAAAGGAAGCTATTAAAGGCGTGGATACTGAGCAAGGAGTATTTTTCCTTCAGTAGTATTACCAGCTTCTTAGCATTGGTAATCTGAACATGATCCTAGCTTGTGGTTTATGACTTAAATATATATAGCTATCAAACAATTGCAATTGTTTGCAATATCAAATACTTGCAATTCAGATTTGTGTGCAGTTTATTCTTATGAATCTGAATCTCAATCATTTGTTGGGATTTTCTTTCTTTTTTTTTTTTTAACAAATTTACAGGAAAGATCCAGTGCTTTCCATAAGTATAAGAAGAAATTAAAAGAGGATATAAACTATGCAGAGAATTATGAGTCAACTGGCTTTATCTACCCCTATAATGACCTCCTGGTTTGGGCAGTATTGATGAAAAGACAGAAGATGGCAATGTTCTTCTGGAAGCACGGAGAGGAAGCCATGGTCAAGGCTGTTGTAGCTTGTAAACTCTACAGGGCAATGGCACGTGAAGCTAAACAGAGCAACATGGTGGATGATACTTCAGAAGAACTGAAGAAGTATTCAAAGTATGAGTTGTCCCTTCAGTTAATAAAGTTCTGCAGTGCTTGGAATGGTTAGATATTTTCCTAATCCACTAAGAATTTATAGGGTTAGTGATCCCATGGACTATGGAGTATAAAACAAATTATCAATATTATATAATGTATCTATGTATTGGTGTGCACTCTGGTTGAGAGTTAAAGAAAAGCTATTTGTATATTCCCTAGATGCTTTTTTGAAAATTAAATTATAAGTGAGTAATGGATGGCTCTCTGTCTGCTAAATGGTCAAGTGAAAGGCTGAAATTTCCCTTACAGTTCAATTTGTTAAGAAGCCATATGGCAGACAGGTGTTGGACTTTTCAAGTCTGTAACAAGTAGTAATGAACGAACTAAAATCAGTGCTAAAATCCTGCTCTGTGTAAGACTAAATCAAAAATGTATCCTGAAATAATTGAGTGAATAAAAGGAAAGTAGAAAAAGAATTTTCTTCAGGTTTGCAATTTTCAGTTGGTGTTTTCTGATAGTTTTTCTTAGTAGTAATATATTTTAGTTAGTAATATATCTTGTGCTTTGTAGACTTCATGCCTAAAATTTGAGTACAATAAAAATGTACTGCCTTCTTTTGTATGCAGCTCCAAAGCTTAATTTGAAGGAATTGTAGTTTCCTTGGAGAGTGTTGCCTACAGAGATGTTTTAAAGCCTGTCTAATAGAAGAGACTTTTGCAACTGCCTGCAGTGCTTGCCCACAGTGGTGATGAGTCTGTTGAAGGATATACACAGAATTTCGTAGGGTTCATTTTGATCACTGAGAGAGCTTAAGAACAAAACAAATAAAAAAATAGAAAACAGGATGACTCTAAACCTTGTGATTAGGAATAAATGGTTAAGTTTACTCCCTAAAATGCTTTTCACTAGTTATATTGTTAAAGCAATGAGAAAAATGGGAGAAGGCATGCTTACTCAGATTTCTAGTTGAACTTTAGTTACGAGAGTATTCACAAACAACCTCTCTGCAGCAATGATTCTGAGTTTGGATAGATCCCTGTTATATTGACTGTTAATTGTTTTCTGCTTTAGGGAATTTGGGCAGCTTGCCTTAGATGTGCTGGACAAAGCATTCAAACAAAATGAGCAGATGGCCATGAAATTGCTGACCTATGAACTGAAAAACTGGAGCAACTCAACTTGTTTAAAACTAGCGGTTTCTGTAGGCCTGCGGCCTTTCATATCCCATACCTGCACACAGATGCTGCTGACTGATATGTGGATGGGACGCTTGAAGATGCGGAAGAACTCCTGGTTTAAGGTAACGCAACTCTAGCTTTTTCTGAGCATTTAGAAGCTCTTTAGATGCTTTATGCTTGTTTTGTTGGTTATGAACATGGCTAATGCAGCTTCAGACAGTTGTGCTTAAGCACGTGTTGGAATGTGCACATATGGAAAACGAAAGAAAGGCAGGGAGGGGAAACGGTACTTGCTTCTGGTTTATTTCTTTGCAAAAGCACCTATGGGATGACATTAGGAGAGGGGATTTATTTTCCTATTCCTATTATGTTCCCATTCTCTCAGCACCCTTCAGTCCCCCCTTACCTGCTCTTGCTTCTGCACATTGCTCATTCCCTGGCAGAGCTGCTGATGGGAGTAATGCTCTCAACATAGGAAGAGGTATTGTAAGCATCCCCAGATACCATGGCACTCTTGAAAGCCACAAAACAGAAAAGAACAATAAACTCCTTCAGAGGCTGTCAGAGTGTGATACAGAGATTCCCAGCACCGGTGGCTTCCTCCCAGGCCAGTGGAATTGTGCTGGGTTTGTGCTGGCTGACTGTGGCTTCAGGTCTATTGAGCAATTAATTTCTGCTGAAATAATTTCCTGAATCTTGTGTTTCTCTTTTAGGTCATTATGAGTATTCTCCTCCCTCCTGCCATCTTGATGCTAGAGTTTAAAAGCAAGGCAGAAATGTCTCATGTTCCTCAATCTCAAGACTTCCACCAGTTCACGTGGTATCATGGGGATCAGAGCCCAATCAGCTCTAAAGATACTTTGTCTCTGGTTAGTCTGTGGTGATTATAATTTGAGTGTCAGAGTTTGTTTGTTTACCACAGTATAATTCTAAGGAGGGAAAAGATGGTCATCAGCTGGAAGTGCTGGAACCCAGTTCTCATGATGTAGTCATTAGATCCCTGGTTTGGATACGGACTGATGTGAACTTGGGCGAGTTGCTTCATCTGTCCTGGATGTCACTTCTATACTGGTCATAATGAGAAAGTCCTTCCCAACCTCACACAAGTATATTGCGATTATACTTATCTGTCAGTTGCAGGTCTTTTAGGGCACAAAGTCTATTCAAGCTGCAGATAAATACCTATGTAATCTTGTGTACCAATGTAATCTTGTATACCAAATAGTCTAAGAAAGATTTCATGTCATACGCAAAATCACAGCTATAAAACTCAATTCAGGTTGCCCAGGTGGGCAGGGAAACAGCAGAACTGTGACAGTCCAGGTCCCATCCTTTCCAACTCACTCCTCCTTCCCATTCTGCCTGACCAGTGTCCAATGCTCTGCATCTCAGCCTCAGCCTCTCCCCTTCTCCCTGACCATCCTTCCCTCTTACTCTCTCCTTGTAGTTTTGTTTCCTGAATTACATTGTAGCCCTTCCAGAGGTCTAGCACCTGTCTTACTTGATGAAAAACAGGGTGTCTTCTGCATTCCTTGAGCCTAGCAAAGATGCTGTTTAAAGCATCTTAAAGCTATTTAAAGGGAAGCGCTGTGCTTTGGGTTTTGTCATCTGAACCAAGTGCCAAAACACACTGCAGAGACAGGTGGTTGTACAAAAGTCCTTCTTAGGCTTGTTGGTGAGGAGTCTCCAGCATAAGTGAGGTGATGTCTTTGCCTTTTGAGATCTTCAAGAATTCTCCAAGATTTCTGTTAATGCCCTTTCTCATTCTCTACCACACATTCTTTGAGCTGAGAATTTCCAAAAATTTTCAGTCTGAGCTAGACATGGACAGACATGGAGAATTGACGAGGTGCTAACCCATGAAAACATGATTGCTAAGTGAGAGCTGTCAGGCAACTTTTTGTTCTCTGCTTACCTTACATCAGACAAATATTGTAGATTGCTTGGGACCTTCTCAATTAACTTTCAATTTGTGTACAATAAAAGAAGACATTGTCTTTGAGGACTTTGTGTAGACTTATTTTTGCCACATTTTTTTTCTGTGATGCAGAAAAATGCTCAAAGCCATTGTCTCCTGTGGTTTTTGTCTAACATGATTCAAAAATTGTTTTTATAGGGTTAGGTAACAGCTATGATACAGAGGACAGGCCAATTGTAATTATTTGCAGTAGGATTACCCCTGCAGTCTGGCAGAAGGCTGCAGAGAAATGTGTATAAGTACTTTTTTTGATCTGCCTCAGATAGGGCTGCTCCCTTCCTACACTAGCAATAAGCTTACTTTTGATTTTATCTATTAGAGAATTGTTTAAAGCACAAGTCTGAGCTAATGATTTTTCTTAAATAATCTTATAGGAAATAATATAGAAAAATATACAATTTCAACAGTGTACTATAGAGCATCTTTCACAATTCCAATGACCAGCTGCAGCTGGAAATCACACTCTTTCATGAGATGTATTCTTCCTTCACCTAGGAAGATCTGATATTAACATATTGAGATGATTCTGTATATCAAATTCTGTGGTTTAGCCCTTTTTCAAGTTTAATGTGATGAAAAAAATCCGTCCCCCCTTGCCCTGATGACTCAAGGAAACTTTGTGTAATAGGGATAAATACATTACATAAGAAGTTCTATACTGTAGATATCTAGTAGCAATAAGTTTTAGAACTGTTATTAGCCAAGACAATTGACCAGCATTGAAACAAAACTGAACAAGTTAGTTTGGTTCCCTCAGCCTTGCCCATAGTTCGAACGAGTAAACTTGTCGTTGTTAGCACTGTTCTCTAACAAATTGAGCAATGTGTGTGTGCATCCCTCGGGCCTCCCTCCTTCACCACTGAAAACTTCTTTAAGCACCTTCTGGTTTTGTCAGTTGCCCCCTGCTATGTCTGCAGCTTGTTTTAGGCTTCAGCAGCAATCAGATATTTGAACTTTCAGAGGTGTACTCAGGCAAATTGTGGATACAAAATGAAGTATGTTTACTTTCTTGAGTGTCAGTTTGTTTTTATTTTACTGAAGAAAATAAAGGAATTATCTTTATATTGCATAGGCAGATCTTCGTTAGAGAGTACTTATTACAACCTTATCTTCTAATCAGATGTAAAGTACAGCAAAAATAACAATTAGATTCCGTATTTAGAATTTCACTGTCTTGACATTTTCTGTGCAACTGTATATATCAGCAGAAATGTGATGTTCTTTTTTCAGAATGTAATCACAAGTGTTAGTGGAGTTCTAGCTAACACAGTTATGTTGAATGGAAGTTGTTATTTATATACATTTTACAGATGTGGAAAGTGAGACACAGAGTGATTACGTGATGCTTAGAGACTTAAGGAAATGTGTGGCAGAAATAGGAGTGGACTCAGGTCTGCTGACACGAGGTCCACTGTCTGTAGTCATAAGAGCAAACTCTAAATTAGTATTTCTAGTGGGAAAGTGTGCATGGTAATTATTGCAAATGAGATGGTTGTAACCAGAATAAAGCAAACTACAGTAATGGTTTAGACCAGAGCAAAGTTTAGAAATTTGTGTCTGTTTTCCCTCTGAAACGACACTGCCTTTGCAATCATAGACTGTTGTTTCTTACTTTTAAAATGCTGTTTTCTTTTAAAGAAGGATTACGATGTGGAAAAGCTTGCTCAGAAGTCTGGTGAAAGCCAAGTAGATGGTGGACAAGGAGACCTACCTGGCACTAGAAAAATCTATGAGTTCTACAACGCACCAATTGTCAAGTTCTGGTTTCACACGGTTAGTGATCATGCTAGAACTTGGATTGACAAATCCTTCCTTTGATCCTTCAAATGCCACTTAATTCTGCTTTTACTTTGCAGTCACTGGTAGGTGTAGATGGGATGATATTTGAATATTTCTCTGGCAATTAAGTGGAAAGATTTTCTGCTAAAGTCATCTAACTGCATTAAAACAAACAAAAAGAAAGACAACAGAAAAACAATTATAAGGAACTAAAGAAAAGCTCAAGCACAGGTTTTTACAGTGGTCAATTGTACATGTAGAGACAGATTTGAAGCTGGCCTTAAATACCTTTAGTATCTCACAGATATTTATGTCCCTTTCTTTGGGAACTGTTTCCGAAAGAGTGAATATTAATCTATAGGAGATCATTTGCTACAGAAAAATATGCATTTATTAAATCAGTTTAAGTAACCATGTGTCAGTAGAGCTCAGGATGTTTAAGATCAGGCTGCCCGTTGGGTCAGACCACCATGTGCATAAACGTTTACTCCTTTAACGGGCTGTGCTTAACTGCTTTATAGATTGTTAATCCCTTATGTCAGATACATTTACAGCATGTTTTCCACCTCATATTGTTCTTCCTGGGTTTTGGAAGGCACTGATTAACCAGCAGTGATTTATATAACTTTAAGAATTGTTACCTCCTGTAGAAGGTTGGGATAAAAGCATAGGACTGCCTTTATGTTCAAGAAATAGTGTGCAGACCACAGAACAGAATCACAGAATAGTTAGGGTTGGGAGGGACCTCTGGAGACCATTCTGTCCAACATCCAAGTTGAAATAGTCTGTCTCATGTATGAGGTGAACGTGTGCTGCAATAGTTTATTTTCTGCTCCTACCTATTTTTTCAGCGCTATAGTAGCAATTTCCAAATGGTGTTTAAGGACATTCCCATAGAAACAAAACAAAATAAAACAAAACTTTGGAGAACTAGAATAAAGATTTTGCGTTCAAACATTTGACAGTGCCCTAGTAGTTTGAATACATATATTCAGGTTAATCACCTATCACTGTGTTTGCAGAAATTTGTTGGAGATTTTTGTGCATATGGATTATATAGCTTGTCTTTTGTAGATGTCATACATGGCATTCCTCATGCTCTTTACTTATACTGTGTTGGTGAAGATGGGACCAAGACCAAGTGTGCAAGAATGGCTTGTTATCATTTATATTTTCACCACTGCTATTGAAAAAGTCAGAGAGGTAAGCTTTTCCATTCACTCTTCTCATCTGTAGAGGATATATCATAACCCAGAGAATACCATAATCTGAAGAATGCCAAATCCTGCATTATTTTTGTATAGAATTTAGCAGAGGAAAAAATTACACAGGGAATTAATTTATTAGAAGACTTTTATTTGAAGACCAGTGCTTTGGCCTTGAAAATGCATCTTAAATTTTGTCCTTCTTTTCTGTGTGGAGCTGGTGGTAATGTGCAGGTCACTTGAGAGTGACTCTGCTGAATTGAGATTTGGAGTCTTGATGTAGTCACATGTCTCTTAATTTTTTTGAGTGGACCATTAGATTTCTAATAATGAAGATATTTAGATATTTATATTAGATATTAAACCTGAGTGTGGACATTGTTATGAATTAGTGAGTATTATTTGTAGCAAAATCTAGGGCTCTCCCTCAAGACTAACTGACCTTCTATAAATGAACTTGGAAAAAAACCACCATCCACTTTTAATGCTGGATACATTGAGCACAGATATTCCAATCAAAATCGATTGCAATTATTTGCCGTTGATTAGACCCAAACTTCTGGACACAACTTGCTCTTCAAACCTGAGTTTGGGGACAAATGGACTTATGTATTTCCCAATTTATTGTATCTGAGCCAACTTACCTTCACTGTAAAATTAGCACATAGTAAACAATAGTAATGTGAATTATCTTTTATATGATATTTGAAATGCTGTACTTCCAGAGGAATAAATAGCAAAAAATCAACCACAGTTCTGAGTGAAGTTGATGTTAGTGCAAATCACTCAGAAGACTGTGACAGCAGTATTGAGGTGAAAGATTTCATGGGGTGGCACAAATGCTGGAAGTATATAGAAGCTTGGATAAACTTGCAAGTTCTGTCTCTGCATGAGATAAGATTGAAAAAATCACCAGGATTCCCTAAATGAGAAAAATGTTGAAATTTGAAAATCTCTGTTGGACTCTTGCATCATCTTGATGGTGGGACAGTGGAAACATCAGCTCTTCTTTCTAGCATTATCATTCACTGCACACTTTGAAATTGATGTCTTCTACTTGATTTTCTTTATCCATGTTCTAGTTCTGTTCTGTTGGCAAAGACTTTGTAGGACACTTTGTCTTACACATGCAGCTTTTAACTGCTGAGGCCTTGTTATATATAACTGCAAACCTCTGTTTCTCTAGATTGTATCAACTAATTGTTAAAGCCTTAGGCCCTGATCCTGCAACTACTTAGTCATGTGAGTTAGTCCAGATCACTTGTTTACATTAATGTGTTTGTATGCATAAGTTCTTGCAAGATTGGGGCATAACATTTCAAAATCTCTCCTTTACTTGGTACTTATCAGTGTGACCTTACACACTGCATAATAGACCTCACTTGCGGCAATGTGCAAAGGTTTTATTTATGACCTCCCAGAGATTCCACTTCACACATTTGCTCAATGAAGCTTAAAATCCCTTTGGGGCATCTCACAGTTCAAGGAGTGAACATTTCACTCTTTACCTTGCTAGTTGCCAGCACTCCTTTTTTTTAAGGTGTCCTTGGTGGAATACAAGGATCTTTCTTTATGTTTTTGGTCTGAAGTAAAAGGCATTAGTTATTTTCCCATCAGCAAGGTTAGGCTGGTAGTTTCCATGACTTAGGGGTTTATGAAAAGGCCACTGCAGGTCATAACTATCCTTTTAGAAAATGTCTGTTAATTTGTAATGATACCTATGAGTAACAATTCTATACTGGTTGCTCTCTTCTGCTGAGGTATGTGCCCTTTAGTGAATGGATTCAGGTTTGGAATCCATTTTTCCTTAGGAAGAGTTATTTGGCATACTTGAGCAATATGATGCTATATATTAAGTACAAACCTCCGTTGATGGTGAATGGCAATATGCAGTTAATGGGTCTAAAGCAGAAATAAAGAAAAGGGATAGGGGCAGGGGGGGAAATGATACATTCCCAAATATTGTAAAATAGTTCAGACAGAAGAGTTTAAATAATGTATCTGTGATTTTAATTGTGGACTTTTTCCACATTCTACTCAGGTATTTATCTCAGAACCTGGAAAATTCTGCCAAAAAGTGAAGGTGTGGATTTATGAATACTGGAATTTTACTGATTCTATAGCTATCATCCTGTTTATGATTGGTTTTGGTTTGCGCTGGTCCAACCCCCCTGTTCAAACTGCAGGGAGGCTACTTTACTGCTTGGATATTATATTTTGGTATACTCGGCTCCTTGATCTTTTTGCTGTGAACCAGCATGCTGGCCCATACCTGACAATGATTGGGAAAATGGTAAGTACTGTGCTTTGGAGCAGTATTTTTGTGGTTAAGGCATCTATTCAGTAATATGTAAAGCTGAGAAGTGACAGAAAAGAGTGATGGTCAAAGGAGAGGTCACCTAATAATTCATAGTGAATGTATTACCTGAAAATACAGTGACTTCTTCTGTTTGTGAGTTGACCATAATCAGATTTAATTTTTCTTTAACTTATTAATTATGCTAATTTATTCAAAAGAAGCCATTTTTACGTCATTCCTTAGAAAAGGGTTGCATTTGAATTAATTTTCTTATCCAGCTTGATTATGGAAGAAAAGCCACTGCCTCTTGCAGATGGGCTCAGTAGTATAGATTGTTCCCCTAGTTATTGGAAACTGTTTCATTATTATTTTACTTCTTGATTAAAATAATTGTATCCCATTTTATCAGAGATCGAAGTTAATTTTTTTTCTCTTTTAGTATAAGAACTGTTGCTGAACTGCTGCCTAGTCTTGAGGGACATGTGCAAATTCCCACTGTAATTTCACTTCATTATTGAAATCTACCTTCTTAATACTTTTACATTTTTTCTTGCATGGTAATTCCAATTCAGTTTTAGAAGGCAAAATAGTTTTCACTGGTGTTCTTTCCTCTCAGTTTGAAAGAAACACCACTGAGAAAAATCATCATCATAAGATCTCTGCATTTTTCAAATCTTGCTTAAGATCTAAGAGGGACATAGGAAGCAAGTAGGACTTGTGGCTTTTTTGGTCCAGGAGGATTTTAACCTCTACAAAATGTTCATGTAGTCCAGGTCATAGAAATAAAATATTTTATTTTCTCCAACATATTAGATTATTACCCCTGTTTTATACTCTGATTTGTAGAAGCAGATTTCCCTATAATGTATGTCTCTTTCACATATAATTAACACAACTAATTCTTTCACACAAACATGTCTTCCAGACAGCAAACATGTTCTATATTGTGATTATGATGGCCATAGTTCTGTTGAGTTTTGGGGTGTCACGAAAGGCAATTCTTTCACCAGAGGAGCCTCCTTCTTGGACTCTGGCACGAGATATTGTATTTCAGCCCTACTGGATGATGTTTGGTGAGGTCTATGCTGGAGAAATAGATGGTAGGTAATTTTCATAATACAGTTCAACAGCTTAAATATAATACATGCAGAAACACACCTACTTTGGGCTACTAGAGTTTTGACTACCTGTTGAGTCTGTTCTTTCTCAAACAATTCTGATTCCAGCATATATATGTCCTTAATGAGTAATACTACATGAATAATGTTGAGAATATTAGTTTCTTTCTTAAAAATAAAGGTTAAGCTCTAAACCCTTCAAATTCAGTGCTTAAAATTAAGTATATTGCAAATCTCAGAGCAAAGCACATAGGAAGTAATATTTAGCTACTTCATGCTCGGGGGATCTGGCACTGAAATGATTTTCTAATCAGGTGAATACAAAGCTGCTGATCTCTTGAAGAAAAGACTACAAAATTGCCTTAAAAAAGAAAAAAATTAAGGTGGGGGAAAAAAAGGGAGAAATAAGTTACCTGGCATCATTCTTAAGCAGGTAAACCAGGTGAACATAGGAAAAATAGAACCAATCAATGTAAATAGGAAAAACAATGTATCTTGGTTATGGCTTTGAACTTGTCTTAGCAAGACAGAAGAACCAGGCACTCCAGGAGGTGTTTCAGCATTACCGATGGAAGGCACTCTCATGCTACTGTGTGATGGGTACAAGTAAAACAATCCCTAAAATCGACAAGTAGGTATGGAAATAGATACATATATTTAAGTTACATAGTTCAGCACAGACCCAATTCATTAAAATAATTTAGAATATTGCATCCATTATTACTGCTTGAACAGTCACATGATGACTATATATTTTGGTTATATAAGTCAAAATTCTTTTAATGAAAGCACACTGTTCAGTTTCACAGTTTAATCCACTTAATCACTTAGTAATGCTAAACCTTTAGAAATTTGACACTTCCCAAATAAAGCTATGATTTCCTTAGTGACTTTTTTGCTCAGAATGTGTCCTGAATTTAGAGCTGCTGCTTTATAAATGTGTGTTAAAATTTCCTCAAAGGTCTGAAATTTGATTAGACATTAAAAGGACTAAAAAATATTTGTTTTGATATTTTAAAAACATTAAAAGAGATCCCTTAATTTCTGTCATTTGTTGCTTCATCCCGCAAATATACATAGCCTTATGTATCTTTTTGCATATGAGTCAATGTGATTTTGTGTGTGAAGCTCTAAATGAATATCACTCCAGTACTGATAAAGCAGCCTTTGAGCTCTATCTTTTCCACAGTGGAGTCTGTGAAAGCTTTGCCACTTGCTTTAAGGATCAAAGATTTGGATTTCAGTTTGCTTGAGTGTGTGCCATCTCTCAAATGCATTTCGGCTGCATCGGTTTTTCCCCTTAACAAAAAATTGGAGTGACTGGAATAAGAACTGATATGTATGAAGTGGTGTCTGCAGCTTCTGAACTGCGAGGGTAAATAACTGTGGGATTGTAGTAGCATAAAGAGGTTGCAGTTTTCCTTTAGGTGAAGGTTGACCTTTTAGTTGGAAGTTTAGTGATCTATATCTGTGAAATTAATGAGGACTATTCTGTTTCTTGCTGGGACAAATGAGAAGCACAGGCCATTGCTGTGCTCTGCTCTGATTTCCATGCTAACTATGCTCTGTATGTCCTTAATTTCCAGTTTGTGAAAACAATGAAGACTGTCCTCCTGGCTCCTTCCTCACACCGTTCCTCCAAGCTGTCTACCTCTTTGTGCAATACATCATCATGGTCAACTTGCTTATTGCTTTCTTTAAGTAGGTACCTTGGTATATTGCTGCAAAAGCAACTAATGCTTCTGCCAACGCTTCTCAAAAGCCTTTCACCAAAAATGCCGCAGCAAGGGCATGTTAATGGTCGTTGTTACCATAAATGGGTGTTGTACCACCATGTCTTCCATGGGGGTAAGGTGAATAAAAAAAGAATGGTGGTAACAAGACAGTGCAAGGAAAGGGATAGTGAGAAGACACCTAAACTGTTTTGCCATTTAACAAGCGTCTGACTCTGTGAAAGCAGACAACTCCAGCTGGCAAAAAAGGTAACATTAATTCAGCTCTGAAGTAATTTTATTTTGTTCCTGAAAGTTGTTGTATGTGTTGTGCTGAGAACCCATATAACATTCATCATAGGGTAGCCCAAGTTTTAAGCTGGCAGATCAGTGGAGGTGTTCAAGGGAAGAGAATAATGACTGTAGGAGTATACTCTTTCTTTAGCAAATAATTTGAAATTTCCTGTGGTTTAATGCAATCTCTTATGTTCTAGACTGAAATCTAACTGTAGTTTTTTTAACAAACTGCCTTTTAATGTCTGCTGTCATTACTAATCCCTGAGTAGGAAGGGTCTTCATACTAATTCTATAGTAATTCATAGTAATTCTATGGTAATTAATCACTGTCTTTATAGTCATTTTAACCTTTAAAGTTTTAACAGGGAGCCTCTAGTAGTGGATCAAGCTCTGTAATGTATAAGAAAAGAGCAGCCTAACCCAAGTAGTTAATAATTTTTTCCTAGAGTTCTAACATTTCTGAGGAAGAAAAAGTCAGCTGTAGGTTAAAACAAAATTTAAATGAATAAATGTAGTGATTAATATTCAAGAAAAATGAACTATCAAAAATCATTCTATTCCCACTTCCAATTAAAAATCCCTTTCCTGAAATTTTGGCAAGGAATCAGTCTATTATTTTATATTACACAGCTGTGAAATTGCAGTTTGAATTATTTCTGGAATTAAACCTTCAGCAATGATGATATGATAAATCTTTTGCGTAGTGATTTGATTGTTCCAGAAATGGGACGAAAAATGGGTATGAGCAATATATTTAATTATGCTCTCAGAAGCAAAGCTGATGTTTTTGTGACTATACGCTGTGTGTGTAGTATGACAGTTCAAATGAAATTACAGTGCCAGAAACCACAACGTTGCTTTCCTGTGCTTGGGTCTATGATAGTAGATATGGAAAATTATTCTGTGCAACCGCAGTTGTGTTTAATAATATCAGAGCTCCAGTGAGTATCCTGCAGAAGAATAGCTCATGTAGTTGCAGTATTTTGTTTAGGGGGAGTGCACAGAACCGTTTTGTTAACAGTCTTCCCTTAGCCTGGTACCTACTTTTAATCCAGTCCAAAGAGGTAGACAGTGTTGAATTTTCAGTTAGGCTGTGCATTAAAGTTTAAATAGTATGGCTGAGATTTCAAAGCCACTTCAGGGATATCTTCTGTCCAAGTTCCATTAATGTGAATGGGAATCGAATCTCCAAATCTGTTAGGCAGCTTGGATACACTTCATTCTCAGTGCACTAGATCTCCAAATCTGTTAGGCAGCTTTGATGCACTCATTCTCAGTGCACTAGCTGCTGACACATGTTGCTGTTTTGTTAAATGAAAGTTGCTAAGCAGATTTACCTCACTGGAGGAATGGCGCTTTTCTTCAGTGTCAGATTAGATCTGTTCACAAGCGTCTTGTGCTATATTGGCAGTACTCCTCACAGTGTTTTCCCTCCTTCCCCCTCCCTCTGTCACTCTCTTCTCAGTAATGTTTATTTTGATTTGAAATCCATATCGAACAAGCTCTGGAAGTACAACCGGTACCGCTACATTATGACCTACCATGAGAAACCATGGCTGCCTCCACCATTCATCTTGCTGAGCCACATCGGACTTCTTATAAATCGCATCTTCCGCCATCAGCCCCCAAATGAGCTGGATCAAGAGGAAGGCGATGTTGGACTAAGTAAGCTGGGAACCAAAAGAAAAAGCTGGTGACAATTGTTTGTCAGCCTCCCATCACCTTGAAGTTGAGTTCCTTTAAAAGAAAAAAAAAAAAAAGAAAAAAAAGAAAAAATATGTTCTCTGGGTAGAGGGCTGTTTTAATTTTGAAAACTGAATTTAACTTGACTCCCTGAGAATTCTTGAAGGAAAAAATGACTAAGTGACTAGGGGAATGCTTTGCTGTGCTACATACTGTGCATCAGTCAAGATACCTCACAGCTCTGAAATAAAGTGACACACAGCTGAAATAAAGTGACAGCAATTTATTCTGTAGGAATTAATAGCCTTATTTTTAAAGAAATTAAACAGTAGTGAGGGTATAAATTTCTATATGTTTGTCATGAAAAGACCAACAATTCCTTTTTCATTACCTGGAGAAAGAAGGTACAGAACTCAAGGACAAAGGAGATCAAGTGGTGGCAGATGCAGAGAGAGAGCATAGAGGATTCCCACCTTCTCACTGTTTCCCTTTCCTTTGTACACTGGCTTATCACTACACCTTCCCAACCTGGATGTCTTCATCCCAGCGTCCTTCCTAATGCCTCTTCAAGGTGATGTCAGTTCCCTGTCTCACTGTTGCCAGCTCTGCCAGGAGTAGCTCTAGCTGTTGAGGGGACGGGACCACAAGCTCTTGGGATGGGAATGAATACTCAGTAGTGGGGCTTGGTGGTTGGGGTGAGGCAGAGAAATGGGGAGGAGCAGAGGCTGGTGGCTATAACCTTTTCTACAAAAACATTGGGGAACACTGGTGTATAATATTATACAGCCTCATCCTTTTTGATGCAACATACACCCTTGGAACCTAATAAGAGATGTGGGGAGGATCCTGCCTGAGTTATGCTTTACTTAGGATTTGCTCTGCTAAACAATGAATCCCTGAAGAGATCTGGCATGCTTGCAGGTAGTTACAGGGTTCAAAACCAGGCTTAAATAATCAACGCTAAGCTGTTTTACTGCTGCTCTCAGGCTCACCTTCTCCATCATGACTGGATACACTAGAAACGAAGTAGGCACCTTGAAGTGCCACTGATTATTTTATATGCACGAATAGCATAAATCACTGATGTAGCATAGAGAGTGTCTTGTAAGGTGCATCAGGCTAAAGGAGAACTAAAACCCTGCTTAACACATCTAAAAGTCCTTGGATAGAAGAGGGCTCATGACTTGCTTACGCTTCTCTCAGAAGGAGAATTTTTTCCCGTTTGTATGCCTCTGTGCCCCTTTTCTGTATACCTGTGCATTGCTTGGTAAGTTTCTTCTACTTTAATTTTGGTGTGGTTATAATTAACTGGTTTTCGCAATGAGGATCCAGTGCCACCCTGTGGAAAATCAGTGAAAATACCAATATACAGAGTAAAATGTTGGAGGAAAGAACACAGGTAGGTTATGGGGGAAAAGAGCCTCAAAGGTGATCAAGTCCCATTGGGAGTGAAAGGGGGAACCCCAGAACACTGCTGGGGTTTTGGCTGCTGAGCTGTGTGTTGCAGCTTTTTTTTACATGCTTGTGACAAACACTGCCTTGTTACCTGATGGAGATATCCCCTTATCAAGTACAGTGAGGACTCTGGTACCTAAAATAAAGAAAGAAAAGAGGAGCTTGGAAAATGTGGAGTTTGAATCAGAGAAACAGCTTTCCACCATATGCATTTCTTCGTAGTGTTTTGTAATTAATCTGTTCTCTCAGAAATCTTGGTGTGCTAGAAGAATAGCATCCTGAACAGCCCAAATTGTAAACTTCTGAGTGTTTTCTTCCTCCTCTAGGAATCTTGGGGAGGAAGGGGATGGAGAGAAGATCTTAATGTTTTATACATATGAATGTTAATTAAGAATGCCTTAATGTTTTATACATATGCACATGTTAAGCATTTAGTTGGGAAAAAAGTTTTGCAGCTTTGAATACCTGGAAGGACTGCAATTATAGGTGACTAACCTGAAGTGAATGCCTTGACCACATTAGAGTGACATTTTTGTAAGCCTTTATATGTATATCTACATCTTGTAAGTGACACATGCATAACAAAATAAAGGAAAAAGTTTGTGAGAAAATACATCTTTGTGTGCAGCCATTCGAGTGTGTGCTTTTGAGGCTTTAAAGGGAAGTGCTCTGGAATTTCTGTCAGTATGGTTATGTTCCCTGTCTAAGGAAAGATAAAAAACATAATTTCCTCTATTTGGCATGTAGGGTCTTTATGCATAAGCCCAAATTCACAGAGTTAGGCCTGATTCTTTCTTTTCAAGGAAAGGAGTGTAAACAAGTTCTGACAGGCTTTTTATTTTTTTTCTCATGGATGTTCATAAAGAATTGTAATTATCAGCATGTTTCATACTGATTCCTACCTCCTTTGTTCAGAGCTCTACCTGAGTGATGAGGAGTTAAAGAAACTTCATGACTTTGAGCAACAGTGTGTGGAAAAATATTTTCATGAAAAGAACGAAAGCCAGAATTCCAGTGACAGTGAAAGGATCCATCTGACCACAGAAAGGTGTGTTTTGCTGAAGATTTGTGTTCTTTGTATAAATTTGTCATATAAAAAGACTTTGATAAGCTAATGCTTTTGAAACAGATTATGGGCACTGTGAACATGCATAGACCTTGCTAATTTGATGGAAATATATCTGTTTGAGGTGCATGTCAGGTCTGTCTGGGAAGCCTTGCTGGCAGAACTGCATCCCCAGATGTGTGTAGGTGGTTAAAGGGGTACAGTTAGGTGTTGCTAAGTTTCACTTTTGCAGACCAGTTAGCAGTACAAAAACATGCCAGAGAACATCATATAATATATGTGTTTGTTTAAAAGGTTAGCAGTGTAATAATGCTGTGAGAACATTGCTTGTGATTGAGTATAATTGCTGTTTACAGAAATAACCATAAAACCATTTTAGCATTATTTTCAATATAGTGTCTTGGTTTGCAAAATGCTAATACACAGCTGTCAGTAGGGCTTCAAAATTCTCAGTATTGGCCTAATTTAGCATTCTATTGAAATCAATGGCAAATCTGCCACTAAATTTAAGGGGAAGAGTTAAAAAAAAGGAAAATTTTAAAAAGTCTTAGTGAATGCCAACACTCATCTCACCTAACAAATTTGTTTTGCCTAGAGAAAGATAGACTCTTAATCTTTGCCTGTTTATAATCTTACTTTCTGCAGGTTAAAACAAAACAGAAGCAGTATAAGCATCACCTGTAAAAGAAATTAAATAAACAGCTTTGTTCAAAAGCTACAGAATTGATTACAACAAGAAGATTTCATTTACTGGATAAATATAGAATTGGAAAGGGATTTTTTTCTGAGTGCAGAAGTGAATACACTTCATAGGATTACATAACATTCATGCAAGAAATTAATTTAGATGAAAAAAATGTTCTGGAATACTGATCTTTGATTTTATTCAGCAATTAGTTAATACTATATCTTTTAGTTACTCTGTGATAAGTGGAAGAAATGACTACTGCATATTGCCTGCAGCTAGTTTATCATTGGCTTAGTGGTAAAGCACCAGAGAATAATTATTTGGTTAAAATGATATAATTCCAGGCCAAGAAGTTCTTGCACTTTTTACTGGAGTTTTGAAGATGATAAAAAAATAGGCTTTGCTTTTTAGGAAGTTGCATTTTACCTAAAGGTAACTGATGCCATAAGATGCAGAGAATCCGCTTCCAGAGGCCAGACAGGTTCTTGGGAAGACCTCTTTCCCAGAAGTCTCTAGCATTTGAGAAATGCAAGACTGAAAAATACATGTAGGTCTGTGTAAGTCTTGTCCTCATGCTTGCACAAGAAATGTAGAAATACAGGATGACTAGCTGACAAGAAATATCCTTTATAGCATTTTACACTGGCAGCAATAGCTGCCTGCTGTCCATGGTTTAGTAGTTCAATGGCAATGAATGGCTGTTAGTAGGAAAACAAGGGTTTTTAAAATAGATACTTTTTGAGCAAAAAGTCTGTTTCCTTAGGAAACACTGTCTGTTGGCTGGGTTTTGTCAAGTATAGATATTTGACAAAAATGAAAGTCACTATTAAAAAAAAAAAAAAAAGCGCCTGCTTGAAACACTGACTTTTTGAAATGTGTTAATGGCTTCCTTCATCATCTTGCAAAAGGATGTAAAGATCTGTGTTTTGGTATTTTAATTATATTTTGTTTTTCTACTTAGAGTGGAGGAGATGTTTCTACAGCTTAAAGAGGTGCATAAGAAGGTATTTTTTATCAAGGAGTCTTTACTCTCCCTGGACAGCCAACTAGGACACTTGCAAGACTTATCTGCCTTGACAGTGGACATCCTGAAAGTCCTTTCTGCTGTAGACACCTTGCAGGTGGAAGAAGCCTTGCTGGCTGACACAAAACATCAAACGTGTAGGAAGCTGCCACATAGCTGGAGCAATGCACTCTGTTCTGAGACCTTGAGCAGCCTGAAGTGTTTGTACGACAAGAAATACCACTACTACAGCATGCCACCCTCCCTCTTACGGAGCGTGGTAAGGAGTCCTGGTCCATCAGAGTGCAAAGACCATGTACGGAGGTCTCAGAGTAACAAGGTAATAGAAGACAGCTCTCGAAAAGTAGAGATAGAAGGTGACACACCCACTTCAGGAGTATCCTCTGAGACTAAGTCAACCCTTAGGTATGGACAGTTTTTGCTGGTGCCCCCTGACCATCAGGGAGGGTCTTTGTCTGAGGATGTCACCTTAAATTTCTCCTTTTTGAGCACTCCTGCCAAGTACAAGGATGAAGTGGTCAGAGATGACCTGCAAAGTAGCACTGTGGTGCAGCAAAATTTGCCCAGTGTCAGCCTCATTGGAAAAGAGACAGAAGATTATCATTGGAGCCAGAAAGACTTTGCTATTCATTTGCCATCAGAAAAGACTAATGCTGTAGAGTCTGATCATCCTCTGGGTCTCCAGCCACCGCTGGATATTGAAAAGAGTGCAGCATCCCCCTGTGATGATGGGGAAGAAACTGAAGGTGGTTATGTGAACTGGGGTTTCTCTGAAGGTGATGAAAAAGGCGTTTTCATCTCAGATTCAAAGAAGAAAGCCATGTACATACATTCCTCCTGTGACAGGGACAATAATTGCAAGAGCAGTCCTCTCAGGCATGTCCAGTTAATAGAATCAAAGTCCTTCTCCTACAACTCTGACTGGTCACATCACAGCAGCAGCAGCATCTCTCAGAACATGCTGAAACAAAGCACCTCCTTCTGGATCAGCCCATTCCAGAGGGACTGGAGTTTCTGCAGAAGCAAGAGCTTACAGTCCCCTAAGAAAGAGAGATCAGGGAAAACCTGCAAGGCTATAGGCGGTAATTATAAAACATTACACCTGTACAGTATCTTTTACTGGAGAGTCCTAGACCTTATAAAAATCTTTCATTTGCACTGATAAGATATTAGCTGCAGTTGATGGTAGTAGCAGAGGTTCCAGAGTTACTCTTTCACTTTCTTTGTTGTGGGTCTGGCAGTTGTTGGGAATTTCTGAAGTGTGCCTTGTACCCAAGCTGTGATACACCTATGTGTCATCCACCCTGATTCTCCCCTTCTCATGAGCTCTCTTTGTCTGTGGTTACACAAATGGAGTAACAGAAGGATTGTGCTCACTCTGGGGAAGTCTCTTTGTCATGGGGATCCAATGCAAGAGTTGCAGGACCCAAAATAAATTCCACGATCCCATAGAGATACATTAGCATTATCGTAGGTCAGATGGGCGCATGGAGAATGAAGAGGTATACACTTTTGTAGTGAGTTTAAATCCCTCCCTGCCCACCACGAAGTTTGCTTACCAAGAACTAAAGTACAGCAAATTCTTGTTCTAATTATGATTAATGTGAGATGATGGATAACACTTCTTGTTTTATATCTTGTGATGGTGCACAACTGTGCACTGAACTGCATGAGTATTAACTTTGGATGTCACAAGTCTTTCTCAGCTTGCCTTAGAGATCTGCCAATTCTCAGTCTTACCTTAGTAAATGAAGCTCTCTAACTTAAAGGTGGTTTTTTGGCTCTTTTCTGCAGAGTCTTTACGATCCAGTGAGCTACATCACAGTGAGGCAACAAAAGCAAAACAGCAAAACAGAGACAGAAAGCCTGGGAGAGGAAAGAGGAATCAAAAACTCCTTCAGGTGCCGGTATGGGCAGATGCAAGAGAATCACATATCTCAAAACTCTTTTTCATTCATTAAGAGCAGTTTTGCAGTGTGATTTAATTGAAAATGTATACATTTAAAATGCTGCACACGAACTGGGGTATCTCATGTGTGTGTCTAGCTTTGCTTCAGTTTTCCTTTTATTTGAAATGTGTGGGATTTCCCTTTTGAACTTGTTGATGCTCAGGGACTTTGCTAGATAGTGTACTGGAGTGATATGGATTTTACACAAGAATAAATCAGTCCTTGCACTTCAGTTGTCAGGAGAACTTGAGGAGGCTCCATAGGATCTAGGATAGACTGAAGAAGGGGCCATATCCAGGTGGTATACAACTGTAAACAAGGAAGCTAGGCCTCATAAGGTTATCTCCTGCCTACAAGAGTCCCACAGTCTTTTTTGATGGCAAATACTTTGCATGTTGCAGAAACCGTATTGATTGTGTCATATGTATGGGGCAACTTTTTGTAACTGTATCTGTGTGTTCATATATAAAAATCTATTTATAGATTTATAAAGAAATTCCTAGTGTCTTTGTCAACTAAAAAGAGTTATCACTGTTTAATGAGATGAATGCTGAAGACTGTTTTGTTTACAGAAGATGCTCAGGTCAGCAAATACTCAAACTTTGAGATCAAATACCTCTGAATGTATTAGGTCTTGAAGTTCAAATATGTTTAAATAGTGTGAGATCTTTCATGAGTTGTATTTACTAGACAAATACAACATGTCTTCTGCAACTTGTAACAAAAAACTGGAAAACCTGTTTCTTGGTTGGTAGTATGTTCATCATTGGCATTTCAGTGATGCTCTGAAAGGCCACACCATAGGCTATCAGAGGAACTGCAGAGATGCTAGTTATCCTGTAAATTGAGTATTGTTTTGTCGCTGTATTGCCAGGTGATTAGAGTGGATGATTGTCCCCAGAACACTCAAGTGATCTCAGAGCCTGCAGAGATCAATGTCTGGGATGAGCAAGAGAAACACAGCAAGAATTGGCTCACCGTGTCTAATTTCAGTCAGCTAAGTATGTGACATTTTGCAAACAGTGAATTTCAGAACAGTTTTTAAAAAGAGGCAGTAAATATAAATCACGAATTCAAGTGTCATCCACCATTTTCACCTCATGGCATAATTTCCACAAAACTAGACTTTGGTTGCAAGCACACATGGCTTGGTTGTTTGCTGCATCATTGAAGAGAGATATAGTTTGGATGGAAGGTCAGTTGAATCTTTCTGGGAGCACTGCCTCTCTTGCATGGAAGACAATAGAGTGCTGATCTCGGGAATAAGTGGGAAGAAGGAGGGTGGTGTCTTTGTCTCCTCTCCTGAAGTATCTTTTAAAGTGGCATCCTGGATAGTTGCAAAAATAAACTCATGATTTTCCAGGACATTTACACTCAATGGCAGTGCTGTGATACTATATTTTCTGGCAGATCCCCTACTTGCATTATTCATTTCTCATTGCTCAGAAAGACATCCTCCAAATGGAAGATATGAATTTTGTGTTGTCTTTTTTGAAATGAAAAGGAATGACTTCCTTACTCTTCTTTTAGTAATTCTCCATCTCTTTCATTCTCAGAAGTCCTTTGTATAGTTCATCTTATCGTTCAGCTTTGCTGTGATGTGGCTCACTGGTTTCATCCTGAGAGCTGCTGGGAGAAGTATTGGGGAATGGTGTGACTCAGTACCTCATGATCTGAGGAGGGCTGCACTCCTCCCAAATCTGCTGGCAAAGAATGGAAATAGTCTGTTTTATCCCTTTGAAATTCTGTTATTGTTTTTATAAAATATGGGTTTACTTGGACAATATGGTATATACATATTCATTTTATAGCACTGCATAGGTATTTAGTTTATAATGATAGAGCTGTTCATTACACTCTAGAAACAGCTGACGTGCTCTTTTGGCTAGGTCTGGAACGCCTCAGTTTCACGCACCAGAAAATGAAAAAGCACGACATCGGTAGGCATACCATACCATTCTGTGATTACCTGGGGCATTCTCGAGAGGTAAGACCTACAATTACACATCCTAGTCCATAATTTTGGCTGGGATGAGCCTAGGGTAGCTCTACTGTTTTCACTAGATTTGCCACTACAGGTTCTTTGTCATGACATACCTCTTTGAGAGATGAGGTACTTTGTTGTCTGCTGGCTCAGTCTATGTGTGCGAGTCAATGAATAATTTAACATCTATTAACACTCTACTAAGATTATCAAAGTAAGATATTAAATTATTGAGTCACAGAGTTGTTCTGAATATGCAGTTAGTCAGAAATGGCATGTGCGTTGATGTTCCATTAGGCAACGCCTGAGCACACAGCTTAGTCTTGAACCTGTGGGCAGAATGGCTCAGAAGCAAATTTTGGAAAGTTAGCTACATAGTGTTCACTCTATCACACAGAGATAGTTATTTCTTGCAAAACAGTAGTTAAATATTGATAAGAATTGCAAAGTGTAGATTTCTTAACCACTGGCTTATTAAAACATATTTTGTGATTTAACAGAATTAATTTTCAACTCCTTAATCTAAAGGTCCTCAGCCTGTGGAAACCAATGCGATGGAGCTAGACCAATTTGTATTTCACAAGTATAAAAGGAAATAAAGAATAAGTTAAGAAAAGGAAATGTGAAAGTATCCTTTCCTTTTTATTTTCAACAGTATGAAAGTACCCTTCCTTGTCTGTTTTACTTCTGGCATGATTATTAAAATGGTGATCTTTTAAAGCTTAGCTTATTTTTCACTGTAAATGTTATTATTTGCCTTTTTTTGTCTGGTTTTTTTTTTTTTTTTTTTTTTTTTTTTTTTAAGAATAAAGATAAACCAGATAATTTCAGATATGCCAGTGTTGTAGAATTTGAATCCCAAATACCGGGAAAGAGAGCTTGAATGTCAGTTTTAAAAATGGTGGGGTTTTCTATGAAAAAATGAAGAGAAAGAGAGAAATAGAAATAAATTTACTGATTTTGTATTCTGTAAGACCCAAGCTTGGAGTATAAATCAATAAATCTTTGAAATGTTGAACACAAGATCAGACAAGCAAAATAAAAGTAAAGTCAGGAAAACTGTGTGAAAGAACCAAGTCATCTGGTGCTTCAAAACTCATATGAAGATATTCTTGGGTAAAACTCAAGAGTAGGATTTTTAAAATTCTCAAAAAAAATCCAGTGATGAATAGCAGTATTGGAGTTATGCTGAAACCAGTCACTTTCAGAACATTGACTTCAGATTATTTATTCTTCCAAGATACAGTCTTCAATACCCACTGAATTATTATCCCTCTCTCTAAGTCCCCTCTGGACTATGAAAGTTTATATTTATCACTGAGATGTAATAAAATTGCTGCATCCAACTGTTCCACTTGTAGTATGATATATCTTAAAGAAATCTCTCTTCCTGAAGTGGCACTTCTCAGATTTATCCACTGCATACTAGTAGTTTAGGAATCCCAATTGGTAGGTAGCAGGGAGCAAAGCAAGGATGTGTGTAGGAAGGTTTTTAAAAGATTTTTGCATCTGCAGATCAAGCTATAAGGTCAAAATATGAGAGAAATAAAAAAAAAGTTAAGTTTCAGATTAAATTAGAAGCTGAATTTTAGTTGATTTATCTTTAAACTTAGCCGTCTCTGAACATTTTTTGGAGGGCCCTTTTTTGTTTGAGAATTGAAATCTACCTGACTGCTACTCAGAAGAAAAATTCTATTTCTGACTAGCACATTAGGAGGACCTAGCTGACCCATTTTTATCTAATATTGCTGGAAGTTTAAAAGACTACTTCAGTATTTCTTTAAACAAAAGACCTGTAAAATATGTGATCTAAATATCACTGGAAAGCTGCTCAGTGTGTCACCTTCTTCTGTTATAGAGGTTTAGAGTGAATTTTATTTTCAACAATTGTAGAGCCAATCCCCAAACTGGAATTTTCCAACATAAAGTTAGTTCTCTTATACTGTCCATTTTAGAACATCTTTAACAAGCTTTTGTGAGTGTATTGAGATATGGGTGGGTACCTGAGCATTTCGTTCAAATGTGTGGAGGCAACACGGAACACTGCAATGTGAGCTAATTAGTTTCATTTTAGTGTAGGTTTGGCAATACTGTGATTCACCTGCCTATCGGTGTCATTATTTATGTTAACAATAAGCATATCAATAACTGTTTTTAAGACTGTATCTTTTTGAGCTGTGCAGTGTGCATATTATAGTGATGTGCATATTTTACCCGTAAAAGTATCTCTCTTTTTTAGGGTTTGAGTAATAGAGTATTTGGAAATATGAAGAAAAGTAATCTGAAGAGGAACTCCTCGTATGTATTATTAGCATATTAAGATACCCTTCGCATGTTTTCAGAAAGAGATATCTGATACTGTCTGCAGATTTGTACTTCAGTTTTTTTTCTGATACTTCAAATGAGAAACTTATGTGAAATGAAGAGTTAAGGCAATTCAGTTTTTTAAGATGCTTAGGGGAAGCCTTGTTACTGGGGATAAAGGAGATCTGTTTAAACAAAGTGTATGATATTGGGTGGAATACACACCCATTCCAATTCTAATAATAATCCAATTTTCTATGTCAGTCACTAAGATGACAGTCAGACTTCATGATCTTAAAGGCCTTTTCCAGCCTTAACAATTCTATGATTCTGTGGTTTTACAACCATCTTTAACTGACCATTTTTCCAATCTAGTGAGCATGAAAAGTTGCATTTGCTTTTGCTGTGCAAATTGTATGTTTCTTTTTTTAATAATTAAAATACTAGCAGCTCCTGAAAGCTTCTCTCACTCTCTGATTAATGTCTTTTGTGCTGAGTTGCATAAAATATGAAAAACTTACCTTAGTTTTCTTCATGCATTTTCAAAAGTTAAGCTTTGATTATATTTGGTGAAAGTATACTGGTTTCACAAGTGGTTTTCATCCCCCCCCCCACTTGATTAATCATTATCTTAATATTAGGAGTATTTTTACCACATGCAGTGCTGTCTGTATGCTCCCTTTCCTTTTCTTTCTTATTTTCGTCAGTTTCTTTTAGATTGCTCTTATTTTTTAGCACTGTGGATGTAATAAATAAAAGATACTAGAAAGCTGTCACATCCTGTGTGATTTCACCATGGGAAGAGGAGGAAAAAGGTTACTGTGGGGTTTTTTTTGGTTTTTATGCATACTGGTGTGTGTGTGAGAGGGTTGGGTAAAGTTTTTTTGTTATTTTGGGTGGGTTTGGGTGGTTTTCCTTTTCTTTCTTCTTTTTTCTTTTTTTTCTTTACTCCGACTCATTTGTAGGTGGTAAGCAAACCACATATGTACCAGCAGGACATACAGGCTCTTGAGTGGTCTGATTCTGTCACTTAGTCAGTTGTCCTCAGTTAGGATTCTTTGGTCTGTGAGGTGAATCGTATCTTCTGTGTTCTGTGAAAGACTGCTTTCATGTTGTTACTGATGCAATAGTCCTTTTGTATAAGCAGACTTGTTAATCCAAAAGCCCATCAATTTAAAAAGTATGTTTTTATACATACAGAAGTGGTGGTAATGACACGTTAATATATCTCACATTGATTGAAAAGTGAACTATTGTGTATGTGATTGAAGGGTCTGTAACTGATACTGTTATTGCAGTGTAAAAGATACGAACACCAGTGCAGAATCCAGAGCAGCTCAACATAAAGCAGAGAAAGAAACACGCAAAAAAATGTGTCACATCTTCAGTACCTGAAGGTGGTTTGCTGATTGCTGCGTTGAACAAAGTTGCACTGAGGGTTGTTTTGGTTTGTGATTGCTGATCAAACCTTTGTGAGTTTAACCTTCACATAGGTCACATCTCTTTATATGCGATCTATGTGTACCAGTATTAGCTTAATGCCGGAAATTTCAGATTAAAATATCAAGTATTTGTTTTTAAACAGGTTGAGAGCTTCAGAGGAAACTGAGAGTAAGTTTTTCATTGCTTGTCACTCATTTTAATTCCCATTTGCAAATCTCACTCTGACAATTCTGAACTACAAAATCCAAAAAGGAAGTTAATTTACTGTAGCCGAGGGTTATAGGAAAATGTGCAGATATTGTTTCATTATTTCATGAAACAATACAAACAATTAAAAACTTTAATTTGTACTTTAAGGGGGTTTTTTTATGAGGACATGTTTTTCTCATAATAACTGCCTAATCTTAAATGGAAAAATCTATTTTTATTCTAGTCTGCCCAGTAATTTCAGCAGGAAAATGATCTTTAAGATTATGGTTCTGCTTTCATCCCTTACAGTATAAGAGACCTCCTGAGTTAAACAGGGTGTTAGTCTGAAGACAGATTATGACATAAAATTTTAATGTATGTTCAATTTTTCAAGTTGCAATTTTGTGTAATTCCTCCGTTTGTGTTGTTTACCTGAAATTATGACAATAGTGAAGGATTGAATTTATTTTGAAATGTCCAATGAAGAAATTCAAGGTTTTAGTGAGGAAATAGTTTGTTCATCAAAAGTAGAGTATTAACATCTGATGAACATTGTTTTGATTATCTTATTTTTTCAGAATTAACAGTAGTACAGTATATATAATTTTAAAATCTGGCATTTTGAAGAACTGTTTTCTAACCAAACAAAATTATTTCATCCACCTAATGGGAACATGCTCATTAATGTTGGCTGTATTAAAAACATCTTTCTGTAAAACCAAGATTTTTGGACCAAATTTGGTCTGGTTGAGCCTGTTAAATATGTCACCACATAAATTGTTTACCTGCTTATATTTTAACAGCATGTTAGATGCTGCAGGTTAATGGGACAGTATTATTATAACTTTGGTTCATTAGTATAGTTAATGGAATGCTTAATGGCTTAGAAAAATCATACCTTTGGGAGACCAAGAAGCATGGTGGACAGCAAAGTTCTTTTGTTATCCCAGAGATGTAATTGGCTTAACATGTCCTTGAGACTAATAACACAATTTTCCCACCATTTTCCTGAAGAAATAAGTCATCTGTCTATATTACACTGATAACTGAAATCTGCCAATATACAGAACATTACAATGTACTTAAAGCCAATTAGTAATTCTCCTCTTTGGAATCCTGAGACAGTAATTCTGATTAATCTGTTTCATGACAAACTCTAAGATGGAAGGAATTAAAAAATCATACATTTATGTCTTTTATAATAATTAATGTAATGATCCTTTAAAAATTATTTCAGATGTCTTCGCCTGCTTGAAAACATCTCAAGATTTGAATCATCACTACTCAGGTAAGGAGGAGTGACAGCACTGTGGGCACAGACCCTGACGCCTGGGGTGGCAGATGCCTGAATCAGCTTTATTGAAAAAAACCACATCTGATATATGTATGGGGTTTGAAAAGTAACAAACCATGTTTAACCAACTACATACATGCATTCCATGGGGCGTGTGCAACAGAGTATAAGGAACTACATTTCCCAGAATGCTCCTCAGCATTTTTCCTGTAATACAATCTGCCACAGCAGAGGCACCAGAATAATAGCTGAGAAATTTAAGCAATTAAAAAGAACATTAGTCCTCCCCTTTTCATCTTCTGTGATTTTCATTTTGAAGAGTTGTACAACTGACCACTGCTAAGAAGGTTCTCTGTTAATTCATGCCTAACACTTGAGTGAGAGCATTATTAATTATTTTCTTGCTAATAATTTCTCTGTTCTGGGTATATATGGCAAATCCAGAGCAGACTGTAGATAATCACTTTCAAAATATCATTTGAAACAATGAATGCACATCCAGTTCCTGAGGGGGCAGAAGAGGTGCTAATTTGTTGATAGCTGTCACTTCCCCTCACACCTCCCACACTCTCCTTTGTACTTTCTAGAATTCTTTTCTTCAGTAAATTAGTACTGTACTACTTAATCTGTGTTTTTTACCTATGAACTCCTGAAAATCTGGCAGGGAATAGATAATTTGAATGCTGATTTCCTGCAGTCCTGTCTTTTCCTGAGCTGAGTGTACACAGATTATCCCATGAGGCATGGATTTCAGTTTTTCTCAGAGGAGAGATTGCCAGTAGATTGCCCACAGGACTTGACCTCTTTTACAGGAAGGGCTGGGGTAAACCAGAAGTAATAGCAACCTCCTTAAATTCAAAATCTACATTGTTTTCACTGGGAATAACACCTCCTGGATTTTAATGAATTATACAGTAATAATTTGTCTGACATGTTGGCGTTGTTGTAGTGATTAATTTGTCCCTCCTTGGGCTTACTATTTGAGATGAGGTAGGATTTTTTTAGCACAGATGAAAGTGGTTTCCACTATGAGTTGTCAAATATCTTAAGAGGTTGCAGTGTAGTTTTCTTTTCTCAGGAAGACCTGAATGGAATTTAGCCAACTAAGCCCAAAAATTGGACACTAAAATCCTATACCATATATTGCTTATGCATTATTTTTCTATCATTCTGAGCAAGCAAATAAAATCCTGCCTCTCTGCTCATCCAAAAGAATTAGATTTTTATCCCAGATTCAGCAGGTGGTGCAAGTCCATGTTGTATGACATCTCAAGGTTGTAGAGTGACTGCTGGCAGGGTCTGACAGATGGCACAGGTTTGGCCTCTGCTCTATTCACAACCTTGTCCCTGCTATGCACTAATTTCATGATCAGAGCATGCTCCTAGTCATCATCAAAGGAAGATCATGATTTTCAGTCCATGCTCCCAGACTAGTCCAAAGTGTAGATTTTCTCAGATGAGGACCCTAATTCATGGGTTGATGAGTCATGGGTCCCCTTTGCTCTACCCAACTGGACTCAGTAATCTCTAATTAAGTTCTGCATGGAGAAGTAATCTTAAAAGAAGGATAGACAATGTACAAGCTGTGTAAGAGTGCCACCATGGCTTTTTCGGTTATTCTGCAGAGAAACACAGCTCTGCTGTGGTTCATTCTTATTGCCTAAAATTGGCTCTTAAAAGAAGCCTCTAATACTCAACTTGTGAGTTTTCACAGGCAGGCATTCTTTTATTACAATATACTGGATGATTTAAGCATGTCGGGTGCACTGGTAATCATTTCGCCAAAGTGCACAGGGAGGTATCTTCACTACAACATTACATGATTATTTGTTTTTTGCTGCCTGTGTTCTTGTTACATATTCATGAAATGTCCCAGCACTTATTGAGGGTCTCCGGTGGTCTTCTCTGTCTGGAACCCCTGAAGTTCTAAGTGACCACCTTATGAACTTCTTCAGGACAATTCACCTGGTTGTAGAGTAACTTGGTGTTGCTTGGCTGGCTGCCTCTATTCCCTTCTTCATTGTTTCTTCACTTTGCTTGGTTAGTTTGTTTAAATCACTTGGCTTAGCTATATGTAGTTCCCATGGTACATTCTGTTGCAAATACTATTAGTTCTTGTTACATCTCTAAACCCTGAAATCGCTCTCTGCTTTGGATGCTAGTTTTGCTTTCAACCATTGAATAGGCAAATTAGATTGAACTGTAGCATCCGAGTTGCCTCCTAGTTCTACCCTCTTAACCCTTTTTGTGGCTGACTTTACACCTCTCTCCCCTTTCCTGATAACTCAGTTATTGTGAGGACTGATTTAGTTGACTCTGAAATTTTGAAGGTAATGTTTTGAAGCCTAAGTAATAAGCTGCAGATAGGGAGATATAATAATGTTACTGATGTTGCTTGACAAGAAGCCCAGATGAAGAAACAGTGCTCTGTGCAAGGGAAGCTTGGATTTTCCTGTCAGGCCTTTCTAAATCTCCAGGTGTTTTTGAGCCTGACGAGACAGGCAGTGAAGGCTGTTGAGGCCAGTGCATCTCACTGGCACAGTGTCAATATTACTGCATGGAAATTGGCAGGAGCAGAAAGCAGCAGCAGCCCTTGGTGAAAGGAGGAGGACAAGGAGGTAGCAGAAGCAGTCCTTGTAGCAGGGTGCAAGGGGCTCTCCCAGAGAGCCTGTTTCTTTGGAAGGAAGGAATTCATGAATGGTGAAAAGAGCAGCAGCTGATGCTTGTGAGATACCATGGGTGTGTGTCCTGTTTCTGGCCAGGACAGGGCTAATTTTGGCAGTATCTAAGAGGGCATGGCTAGGACCCAGAGGTTATTCTATACTACCTCATGTCATTTTCCAGGGACAGGGGAATGGGTCCCTTCTGGGTCAGGGTAACATGGCTGAGGTTCGTGTATTGCCGGTTTCCATGTGGTGAGCATTCGCGTGTGAATCATTTGCCTGTCTTGTACCCTCTGTTATTAATAGTGTTGCCCATTTTCTTATCTGCTCATTTTCTTATCTCATTGCTGTTTCCAGTAAATTGTTCTTATCTCAACCCATGATCTCTACTTTTTGTACCCTTGATTCTTCTCTCCATCCCACTGCAGAAGTGAGAGGAATAGGGAGGGGGCAGTGAGGGAGCAGCGCATGGTTTGGAGTGTTTCAGTGGGAACACTAAATTGGGGAATACAGTTCCTAAACCATGACAGTGGGCAAAGGGGAGTTGCTGGCTTGGTAGAGTGAATGGTGATCAGATCTGACACAGGATCACACTGGTTTTGTACACTCTAGTGTACTCCTTAGCTTTGTACACTATAGTAAAGTGCCACCAGGTGTTTTTGAAGTTCAGCCAGCCTGTTTATTCAATATAGCAGTGAAATCTATGTTGTTTGCAGCTGTTGAAAGAAACAACTTAATGAGACTTGCTCAGACTATACCATTTACACCAGTCCAGCTCTTTGGTGAGTACTAATTTCCTGGTTATGTTTTTTGCTTCATAAATAGTTAGTGCATTATCTTCTTAAAGACTCTGTTTGAGAAATTGTCTTGGACTAATTTCAGCAATTCTTCTTTTTGAAAGACATGAAACAGATAAAATTTTAGTCATGCACTAATTTGGAGACTTTGAAGGTTGTCTTGTCCATCTCCCTCTGTGGTCCATTAAGATCAGGTTGCTGACACCCTATACAATTACATTTTGA